TTTTGGTTTGGTTTTTGAGACAGGGTTTTTCTGTGTAGCTTTGTGCATTTCCTGGCATTCACTCTGTAGCCCAGGCTGGCCTCAAACTCATAGAGATCCATCTGGCTCTGCCTCCCGAGTGCTGGGATTAAAGGTGTGCGCCACCACCGCCCGCCTCAGCTCTAAGATTCTTAATTACATAAATCATGAAAGGTTCAAGGAGGATTCCAGAATATTAATAGTGGTTATTTCAATATGAAATATCATTTTTTCCTTAATAAAATTCCCTCATAATTAGAGTATGTACATTATTTTTAAACTGTTGTAAGTAGCCGGGCGGTGGTGGCACACACCTTTAATCTCAGCACTCGGGAGGCAGAGGCAGGCGGATCTCTGTGAGTTCGAGGCCAGCCTGGGCTACAGAGTGAATTCCAGGAAAGGCGCAAAGCTACACAGAGAAACCCTGACTTGAAAAAACAAAACCAAACCAAACCAAAAAAACTGTAAGTTAGTCAACCCAATATTTAATAAGGCAGTAATCTTCTAAATTATAACTTTCATTTTTTTAAGGAACAGATTTGAATTTCATCTTTTCATTCAGTAGCCTGATAAATTGTTTGAGTAGTTTTTCAGATTTGGATGAACAGTGAAATGTAGGGCATCAGTGCCTCTTCACTCTCCCCCCCACACACACACATACATTTGAGCAATGAACCCAAGACCCTGCACATACTAGTCAAATGCTTAAGCACCATAGTACATTTGCAAGTCCTCAAGCTCCAATGTTTAATCACCTAAAATATTTACAATTATAATCCCAGGGAAAGGTGACTCAGCAGGTAAGTACATTGGTCTCTTGCAGAACAGTTTAGTTCCTTGTACACATGTTAGGCAGTTTACATCCACCAAGGATTCCAGGCCCCTTTCTGGCATCTACAGGCATCTACAGGCATGTGTGTACACATAGACGCATGTGAATGAAAGTAAATTTTTAAAATCATAATCCTCACAGCTTTCAAGTACCCAGTGCATTGCTGTTGGTTGTGATCACCATGTTGTTCAGTAGACTGATCTATTCTTCATTACACTTCAGACTAGCCGGCATCTTTAAAAGTTTCTGAATTTCCTTGGAAAAACTGTTTCTACTTTTCTTCACTTTCATTTTTTTAATGTCTTAATGTGAATTATTAGACTTCATATCTGGAATTCAAATTGAAGTATATGTATCTAAGTTTGCTTCTTTGACTCTAGGTAGTTTAAGATTCTTTTACATTATCTTAAAGTACTGTTGTTAGAGTATGACCTTCACTGCTAATTCTTGAAAATCTTTCTTAAATGCAAAGGTAATAAAGTGGGTTTATTTAAACATTTTATTTCAGAAAACTGAAAAGAGTGAGTTTTTAAATTTCTTCTACAACCATTGCATGCATGTCCTCACAGCTCCACTTTTGACCAATACGTCAGAAGACAAATGTGAGAAGGGTGAGTTCTCCTTCTAATTGATCCAGAGAACATGTTGGCTACAACTAATAAAACTGAAAAGAGTGAGTTTTTAAATTTCTTCTACAACCATTGCATGCATGTCCTCACAGCTCCACTTTTGACCAATACGTCAGAAGACAAATGTGAGAAGGGTGAGTTCTCCTGTTTATTTGCATACGATGGCCATGAAGTATTACTTGGTGCTTTATATGACAGGGAAGTTATTTCTGAAAGATGTAAAGTGCAATATGAAGTCATGATTGTCCTTGTTTGAGAGTGTCTTTGGTAAGAACTATCGATGCATAATTTATGGGACAAGGGTTTTCTTCCTAGTGTATATTTTTTGTTGCTTCTCCGTATTTGTTGCATAAGTTATGCTTATGACTTACTAATGACAAGTTCTAGTTTATGAATTAAAGTGGAATGGAGACAAAGATGGTTTTGAAGCATTGTGAGTAAAGAACTGTTTAGGCATTTGTAGATGTATAGGTCCAATTTGACAGCAGTTTTTGGTTTAGTAGAGTAACCAACTAAGAGGATGCCATGGTCAGATGTGGCAATGGGCTTATAATTTCTGTACTGAGAGGTGGAGGGAGGCAAGAGGTTCAGGAATTAAAAGCCAGTTCTGGCTAACTAGTAAATTCAAGGCTAGCCTGAGCTGTGAGTCTTAAAGGAGAGAGGGGAAATCAAGACAATGTTTATGAAATTAATAAAAGTTACAACATAGGCATACCCCATTTAATTACTCTAATTGCTTTCTGATTAAATACCCTAAAGAGAATTTTTACTTACATGATAGGTTCAGAACTGTTACTATATTATTTATGATAGGATAAAATGAACAGATTGTAGAGTATCTATATAATGGAAGGCTGCAGTTAAAATAATTGAAATGAATTTTGGTATATCAACTAAATTATCAAAACTGCTAAGGTGGTGGTGGCATACTCATTTAATTCTACCACTCAGGAGGCAGAGGCAAGTAGATCTCTATGAGTTCAGGGCCAGAAACTGTCTGGGGAACAGGGGTAGGGAGGTGTTAGGTAAGCTTTAAAAAAAAAAGGAAAAAAGGAAGCATGTTCCAGAAGATTTTTGTATGTAAGTTAAAATAGTTCATTTTCATGGTCATTTTAACACTTACACCATATGCAAATATATAGCTAATACTGTTAGTAGATATATATGTACTGCCTTTGTTGGGATTTTCTGTGTGCCACTTCACTGCCTCAGTCCCACTATACCACAACCTTAGTTCCTAAGATATGCCCAAGAGTTTTGTCTCCTGTACTGGCTCTGTTCTTGTGGTTTGTGTATGTACTATTTTTCCATTTCATATTTGATTTAAGTTTACTTCTGTTGAGATCTATTCATACTGATGTCTAGGTTCCTTGGGTATTTTAAATCTGGCATAGATAGTATTCTGAGTATTAGCAGTTTAACCATTCTTCTTCCTGTGTACATTTGTTTCAAGCTTTCCCCAGTTGTAAATATTGTTCCTGTGTGCATTGCATTTTTCTGTGCAAATGAGCTAATACGTGCTCTAGGAAGTATCCTTTAGCTAGGCACATATTTTTAAACATAAACACATTGTTAAAGTATGCATTGCTCTGAAGTTTTAAACTTCCTGCATTTTGTGTTTTTTAATGTGATGCAGAAATATATCCTAATTGTAAAATGGTGAATAAAAAGAAAAATATGTGTCTGTCTTACCTGTTTTTTTTTTTTTTTTTAAACAATATTTTTTAAGTCATTTATTTATTATATTATGTATACAGTGTTCTGCCTGCATGTATGTCTGCAGGCCAGAAGAGGGCACCAGATCTCATTACAGATGGTTGTGAGCTGCCATGTGGTTGCTGGGAATTGAACTCAGGACCTCTGGAAGAGCAGTCGGTGCACTTAACCTCTGAGCCATTTCTCCAGCCCTGTCTTACCTGTTTTTAATCTCACCTTTTTATCAGAGCACTTTCACTGTTTCTATTCTCTTTGTCTCTGTTATTTGTGAGACAGGGTTTCTCTGTGTAGCCCTGACTGTCCTGGAACTCACTGTGTAGACCAGGCTGGCCTCAAACTGACAGAGACCCACCTGCCTCTGCCTCTGCCTCCCTGCCCCTGCCTGGATTAAAGGTTTGCGCCACTATGCCTGGCTCACTACTATTATATTTTAATAATCTACCTCTGCACCTAATTCTGTAAAAGATGTGTAATATTCAACCAGAGTAAACAACTCAATAGTTATTATGAAATTAAAAAGAAATTATGATTGAGGTTGTTTGTGTATTGTGAAATATTAGGAAAATGTAAGATTGTTAGCTGAAGTAGTTGATTTTAATTTTTCTTTTAAAGATAATTTGCTTGGATCTAACAAAACCAATACAATTTGCCCTGGTAAGTAAAAATAAATATTTTATGAGTACAAATTATGAGGTTTTTCTTAATCAGTATGTGGTGGGGGGGAGTGTGGGTGTGTGTATGTGTAGATAAGAGAAGTATTTTTTAACATAAAAATAAAATCCAAGGATAGATTTGCCCTTTTATTATAAGGAAGAAAGTCTACTTTCCAACTATAAATGATGAGAAACAGATTGTTTTCTCTGTAAATTTGTTGTTGTTTTAACATTGCTTTGAGAAATTATTATCTGTAAGTTGATAATTCAGTTCTTATATTTTAGATGTAATTGATTACCATCCCTTAGGATCCATACTTTAGCACAGTGTTATACTTGGTCTATGAGTCTTCATCTTTTACCATTTGCTTCTCTTTAGAATATGCATTCAAGGTATGGACCTGATGGTATTGAAGCTATGTGCATTTAAAATTACATTCTTTCTACCAGCCTTATCAAAGCCCCAGGAGAAACAACAGAAACCTCTAGGAGAGCTTCCACAGGAGAATGTTCAGAGATTGAATTAAAGTGATTTCTTGACTTAAAATAGAAAAGGGAAAACAATATAATTGATGGTACAGATCACTGTTTTAAAATATCTTTTGTGTGGGTCTGGAAAATGGCTTAGCAAATGAGCCTGGAGACCTGTGTTCCATCCCTAGACCCACATAAAGGTGGGAAGGAGACATTATCCTTTGACACCCCCCCCCCCCCAGGATTCCTACACAACATCACACACAAGCACAGTAATATCCTTTAGAACTTCCCGTAGAGCCAGAGAGATGGCTCAGCATGAGAGCACATTCTGCTCTTGGGCAGAAGATCTGAGTTCACTTTCTAGCACTCATTTCATAGCTCAAACTGCCTGTAACTTAATCTCCAAAGTATAAGGCTCTCTCTTCTGGCCTTCAAAGGCACCTACACTCATGTGCACAAACTCACACAAATATACATATACTTAAAAATTACACATCTTACATATTTAAAAATAAAAAATATGAGAAACTTTCATGGTTAAGGACTAGTTCTAATTTTGCATCTGGTATACTGACTGTTACAGAACTTAGTTTGGAACAAGTAAGACTCTCTTCTTGAACTTGACGTAAAAACAGTCAAGTTTTATTTTGTGTTTGAAGGCCATTTTGTTAATTAAAAGAAGGCTGCATTATTTCCAGAAGCAGTCAAGATCCTTAAAATGTTTGTGTGGACTACAGAGGCTCTTCTCTTCCAGAAAAACAGAGTTCAGTTCCTAACACCCACATTGCACAGTTCACAGCTGCTTGGAACACCCTCTCCAGGGGACCCACATCTTCATCTGGCCTTCATGGCATTAACACACATGGGGGAATAGGAAGGATATGTTCAAGTGTGTAATATTCCTGTTGAAATCAAATAGTTATACTAGATGGCATTGATTGTGTTAACTTTTTATTTGGCTAGATTCTGTAATTTCCTCTCAGGGTAGTGTTTCTTTTCTAAAACATTATAAAATGATTATTTATATTAAGTCCTTGGTAGATATTAAAGTTTAATGTACAGTCGTTCCATGAAGCAGAGCATCTTTAGAAGGGTAACCAAAAAGGTAGCTTCAGTGATCTGAATGGCATGAATTGGGGTATTCAAGGTGGTTACTGAAAAAAATCTCAGTGAAAGATTTGTTTTTGTTTGATACTTAAATAGCAAAAAAATAACATTTTTCTTAAAGATGGCTTTTTAAAAATGTCAAACTGCACAGACAGCACAGTGGGTAGAGATTCCATGTAGGCTGTCTTCTGGTCCCCAGACCTCAGGAGGTAGGAGAGAACCCACTCCTGAGAATTGTCCTCTGCAACCACACTAGCGCTTCCATGCACACACATGAATAAATTTAAAAGAAATTACATTGAGCCACTTCAGGCAAGAAATTTTGAGGCCTTTCCTCCTTTCATGGATTTGTTCATATTTGCAGTGATAGCACTAAGAATACGTTGTGAGGAAGTAGTCTACATATATACAAGTAATATTTATGTACCCCTTTTAAATTATTTAAAATGTACTTTTGCTCTAAGATATAGAATGTCTTTATTCTCTTTAGGTGTATTCTATTTATTCTCACTAGATATCTTTCTTTTGTAGATAATTATCAAACAGCACAGCTACTTGCCTTAATTTTAGAGTTACTCACATTTTGTGTGGAACATCACACATACCACATAAAAAACTATATCATGAACAAGGACTTGCTAAGAAGAGTTTTGGTGTTGATGAATTCAAAGCACACTTTCTTGGCCTTGTGTAAGTAACACTTTAATGAGCATTTTTGTAAAAATGGTTTAAGAAATACTTTTTGGTAGAGGTAAGTGCCAGTTCATATGAAGTCATCTGCTTTTTAGCAGTGTGTGTGATGTTAACGAGATGGCTAAGAGAACCGACTGCTTTTGCTTCGTGTTCTGTTATCCCACATGCATATTGCTTACATTTAGATTGAATTGAATTGTCCTAGGTTTTGTTGGAATACAGTACCATGTGCAGTAACAGCATTGCTTGATAGAACTGTTCTGGTATGTTGGAGCTTCATCAAACTATCATATTTTACATGTGTGTGGGTTGGTGGGTGGGTGTGTGCACACCTGTACCTCAAGCTCATTGTGTAGTAAAGGGTGGCCTTGATCTTTCTAATATTCCTTCCTTTACCCTTGAGTACTGGGATTACAAACAAGTGCTATGTATCCAGTTTATGCAGCTCTGAGTATTGAACTGAGGCCATTGTGCATGCCAGGCAATTCTACCAGCTAAGCAACAATGCCAGCCTTGTTTGGTACTCTTAATCCCCCTATCCTCCTTTATTTTTAGGTCCTTAAAATGGTCCTTAAAATGATCACACCTGTAATCCCAGCAGTTGGAAGGTGGAGGCAGGAGGATCAGGACGAATTCAGGATCATTCTTCAATACATAGCAATTCATACATTGGCCTGGGACATGACACCTTGACTCAAAAGGACAAAACAAACAAGCAAAAATTTAAACAACGCTAACAGCCTGTGGTTTTTGTTTATTTTTTTCCTGTCCCTGTACAAATGTACATAAACATATTCATACACATACAGGGTTTTTTTACCTTTATGAAAATTAGATTGTGCTAGTACATTTCAATGTCCTTCACTACTGCAAATTATTTGGTTTTATTTTTTCTTTGTAATGATAGCTAAATAACACTTCATGATATGATTTCCACAAATGTTTTACCATCTAAAGCATTGATTACAGAATTGTTTTTGCTTTTTCACCCATTCCCAACTATACTATGTCTAGTACAAAATCTTTTATATGCTAATGTATTTCTGTAAGATTCACAATGATAGGATTGTCAGGCAAACTTTTTTTGTTTTGTTTTGTTTTGTTTTTCGAGACAGGGTTTCTCTGTGTAGCTTTGGAGCCTGTCCTGGAACTCACTCTGTAGTCCAGGCTGGCCTCAAACTCACAGAGATCCGCCTGGCTCTGCCTCCCGAGTGCTGGGATTAAAGGCGTGTGCCACCACCGCCCAGCTTTTCTGTACTTTTTCATATATTGTTTTAAATTTCAACATCTACCTACCTACCCAGGTTACTTTCCCAAAAACTGAAGCCTTGCAAAAGCTAAAGCATTTGGCATTTTCCCAGCATCATATAATGCCACACTATGGATGGATGGGTGGGTAGGAGGGAGGGAGGGAGGAAGAATGATAGGATGGATGATAAGAAAAAGGGGCGGGGGCGGGGCAGAGTAAGGCCTCACTCTGAAGTCCCAAGCTAGCTTGGAATGTATTACATAGCTCTGGCTTATCTTGAATTAATGACAGTCCTCCTGCCTCTGCCCGGTGCTGAAATTATAGTCAAACCACTACTCCCAGCTGTATTGCTAATTTTGGGGGGGAGGGGTGTTTTCAAGATAGTTTCTCTGTGTAACAGCCCTAGCTATCCTGGAAATCACTTTGTAGACCAGGATGACCTTGAACTCACAGAGATCCACCTGCCTCTGCCTCTCAAGTGCTAGGATTAAAGGTGTGCACCACTATGCCTGGCAATAATGCTAATTTTAAAAATAGTTGTCCAGTGATGAAATGTGTAGATTTGTTCTAATTTGCATTACCCCTGATAGAATATTTTCATATATTAACATAATTGTTGAGGATATCTCCTGGAGCTGCCCCCTCCAAACCCCACCCCTGAGAAAGCCCGCCACACCGAGGCTCCATCCCCAGGGTCCCGCCCAAGACTCCCCCTCGTAGTTCCCCTCATGGCTCTGCTCTTCCTCTGGAAGCACTCAAGAATGTTCTGCTCAGATTAAACATGGATTTACTAATTTGGCCTGGTCTGACTTATTACATCAGCAGCGGCGTTACTACCAGGGGATTTAAACTTTTCAATAATTTTTATATATTTTTTGAAATAGTCTCATGTAGCTCAACTGACCTGAAACTATATGGCTATGGATGATCCTTATACTAATGCCTCTACCCCCAAAATGTAGGTATAGGTCTGAGTCATCATTGTCAGCCTAATTTGCATTTTCATCTGTTGTAACCTGAGGGTTATCTTTTTGTGTATTACAGTTTATGTTTTAGGAGGAGATGTATCTTTATTGAGACTGGGAAATGTCTCAGTTGAGACTTGCGAGCACAAGGACTTGAATTTGATTTCCAGAACCCATGTGCAGGGCTGGTGGTGTGCACATTTATAATACTACCTCTGGGGAGGCAGAGACGGGAGGATCTTTGAGGCTTGTTGGTTGGCCAGTCTGTCCTAGTTAGTGGGCTGCAGGCCAATGAGAGGTCATGTCTCAATGTGGATGACACATCTAACATACAGACATTCACATATTGGCACATACACATTTTAAAAATGCTTCATGGTTTATTATAAATTTAGTTTACCTTCCTTCCATTTATGTTTGGAGTCATCATGCTTAGGAACTTTTCTACGTTGTAAGATAATACTATTATTCTCTTCAGTATTTTTATTATTTGCTTTTTGTGTTTGCTCGTGTAATATATATGAAATGTATTTTAGAATGTGGTATGATAGCTAGCCACCTATGTCAACACCTTCATTAAATAAACTTTTTCCATGGAATGAAAATGCCACTTCTGCTATATAGTAAATTAATAAAACACTTGTGCCTTATTTCTGCAATCTCTATTATTTAATCTCATCATATGAAATAATAACAGTATTGTTATAGTTCTAGAAGATTTAAATGCCTGCCTTTTGAGTTTGCCCCATTAATTTTCATATTTTTCTTGGTTATCTATAGACATTTATTCTTTAATGATAACATAAAAGTTATAATCAGTTCATCTCATTTTGGAATTACATTGGTATACTAATTTTGAAAGAATTTATGTTTTCATGTTAGGTTTTCCATAAATAGTCCCGTAGATGATTACATATTGTACCCATTACGTCGATAAACCCTGATTCGATGCAATTCAGTATGTAAATCTTTGTATTGTTTTCATCATAACAGAGCAGAGCTGTTGCAGCTATAGTTGGAAAGTCTCCTGGTTCATTCAGCAGCAGCATAGAAGTCTGTACAGTGTGTGTACATGTTTTGTTTGTATTGGGAGGAGTTGGGGAGGGGTGTGCGCGTGCACGTTTTATACCAGTCACAGTTTCTTCATTTATGAGTTTATGTCTTTAACAGAGTTAAAATGAGAGACACATAAAATCTGTAAGTCCTGGCTAATGATATCTGTAGAAGAAATTAAACTAAGGGGGAAGTTATAAGGTAAAAAGTATCAACACATAAAAATAAAGGATAAAAGTTGCAGTGTTTGATGTTCTGTAAGCATTTTAGCAATAATATTGCTAATTCTATTTGAATAGTAAAAGCTAATTAAAGAAGGGAATGCTGTTTTGTTTTCAATATTGTAAAATATGAAATGCCAAGTTATAGTCCTTAATTATTACTCTTGTTTTTTGTTAGCAAATGTAATCTCTGATCTACCATAATTCATACATAATTGGCCAATAAGGAAATAATGTCATAATATGATTCACAAGTGAGTGTTCAAGACAAAAGCACCAAGAGTAGTTGGAGATCTGCATTCTTCATTGAAAAGGTTTTAAAAGTTTAGATCTGTTATGTTACTGGTAGTCTCTTTGATTGGATTTCAAGAAAATTAAAAGCAAATATCTGCCCCCCCACATTCCTACCCTAGAAATGCAATGGTCTGTGCCACACCTGTGCCCACTCAGCCTCCCACTTCTGAGCCTCCTGTACTGCATACACTATCCCTGCTTTAAGTATTACTAGCATTGGCATTCTACAGGTAATTCTCACTCTGGCGTGTCTGCGGTGTTAGAGAATAGGTTGGTGGAATCAGTTCTTTCCTCCCACCTTCAGGTGGGTTCTGGGTGTTGAATTTGGTCACCAAGCCCTTATCCACTGAGCCAATCCAATTGTGATTCCTAAACTTTTGTTGTTGTTTGTTTCAAAGCCCCTTTTTTCATGTACTATTTTACTTCTTATTTTGGAAAAATTTTAAACATTGCTTTATGTCAAAAAATATCTGTAAGATAACTTGGGTAAATTCATTAACCCTTTTTAAATTTTTTAAATTAGGTGCTCTTCGCTTTATGAGGCGGATAATTGACCTTAAGGATGAATTTTATAATCGTTACATCACCAAAGGAAATCTTTTTGAACCAGTTATAAATGCCCTTTTGGATAACGGAACTCGGTACAATCTCTTAAATTCAGCTGTTATTGAATTGTTTGAATTTATAAGAGTGGTAAGTTAATATTAAAGATCTCTTAGTAATCATATATAAACATAATTTTATATAAAAATAAAATTATATGTAATCAAATTGAGTTTTCATCCTATATTCCTGAAATTATTTATTCCATTTGTCTTAGAATCTAATAAATTGAAATTTTAAAAGTCACTTTTTATTCTTTCTTGTACATGCTTAGTATGACAGTGGTTTCTTTGAGGTGGGTCACTGTTGGGGATCATATATGGGTCCTTCTAAGTGGTAGGTAAGCTCCACCACCAGGTCACTCCCTAAACCACTATTGAAAATTAGGACATTTAAAAGTGAAATTAAAGTCTTGTAACTCATATTTGCTCATTTTTCTTGGGAAAATTTTTAGGATCGTGTGTAGCATGTTGGACATTTCAAGCAAGACATTCTTGTGATCTATTGTGAAACAGCAGTTTTCTATCATAGGAGTAATAATGTATGAATGCAAAAAAGTTGAAGTTTTTCTTTAGTAGAATTTTATACAAGATGCTTAACAGTAGGATGGAATTTTAAAATTTAAAGGATGAGAGAACCGGGAAGTTAGAAGTAATCCAGCTGCCTTTTGTTACAGTTCAGGAAACTGAGGCAACAGAAATGACTCCTCCTGGTGAAGCCTTAGGACAATTAAAAGCACATGCAGCAATTGCAGCTGTGGCCCAGCACTTTTTTTTCTCATGAGAAGAGCAAGAGAGAGCAGTGCACACATACTGGAGATAAGCTGATCCCTACAGTCAGCACAACCAGTTCACCTCTTGTGCATCTAGAAATACTCGAGTCCTTTCATCAAGGAAATGGCCACGTGAAAAGAATGTGAAAGGGGGAAAAGCTAAAATCTCATTCTCTTATTTTGTTTCTTTCAAGTCAGATTTCTAATCATTTGTTGTTCCTATATGGAGATTATTTAGCTAACTCAGTTGTTTTTCTAAGAGTGGCCACTTGCCAGGAGTACAATTGTTGAAGAGCTGAAGAGGACAGAATTTAGTTTAGCCTTGGAAGACAAGCAGCATAGTTGATTGTCTCAGCTGCTCTCTGTTCTGCCTTTTGTGAGCTTTCTATGGACTTAGATCAGTTTTTCCTTTAGCATTTTGGTAAGATGCTGATAAAATAAATTGGGTTTACACCTCTCTCCCAAAGCCTTTGATAGAGTTTACTTTTTTTTCCTGAAAATTGATGTTTAATATACTGAATCTTCAACCTTAACATGTCTTTGTTCCATTTACAACAGTTTACCAAAGTAGAAAATGTAGAGTTCCAGTTAAGTAGTTTGTCCTGTTTGTATATACAATAAAGTGAAAGGAATCTGCTTATTATCTACTTAGATAGGACTTACCCTATTTTGACAGCAGTTAAATAGGAAATCATTAACATTTACTGAACATATAGACTTAACATTTGTTTTCTAATAAGCTCTTAAGGCCTAAATTTTGTCTTTTTGTAAAATGAGTATAACTTATTTCATTGGATTGTGAGAATCATATATAAAATTGTAAAGGTGTTCTTTAAATTATGAAGTACTGTATAAAGCACTAAGACATACACTAAATCCATTGCTTTTCAAATGTTCTTATAGCCCCTAAAGGGCTCCAGTGAACTGCCTCTCCTTGCCCAAGTTCTCTGTGGAGTCCTGTCCTGGCTCATGTATAAGGAATCTAGGACATTTATTTTTAGAAGGTGATTTTGAAAAACCTTTTTTGATCAACTTTGGAACTATTCAAGTTTTTTTTTAATTTTTTTCTCAACAAGTATTATATTGTTTTATAAATATGAATTTATTGCCTATACAGGAAGATATCAAGTCTCTTACTGCACATATAGTCGAAAACTTTTATAAAGCACTTGAATCGATTGAATATGTTCAGACATTCAAAGGATTGAAGACTAAGTATGAACAAGAAAAAGACAGACAAAATCAGAAATTGAACAGGTATTGTTTAAGTGTATTTTGTAGAAAGCAAAATTAAGTACGAAATTGCCCACAGTTTAGATCTTAACATGTGAAATATTATATTTGCATAGCCTTTTACAGTTAGGTCAACTGTCCTTCCTGTCCCTTCTATTATATAACTTGATACTGTATGTAGTAACTCAAGATGGATTCTTAGTTTACAACATGCATAAACATTTGAAGAGTTCTCTGACTACATCTTACATGATGACCGATAATTTTGATGTACTGTACATCATAACTTAAAAGTACATTAGTTCATCCTGGTATTTATCCTTCTCAGATTTATCTGGTCATGACCTTGTAGTCATTAGTCAATATCGGTAATATATTTCTTACAGTGTACCATCTATATTGCGTAGTAACCGATTTCGCAGAGATGCAAAAGCCTTGGAAGATGATGAAGAAATGTGGTTTAATGAGGATGATGATGAAGAAGGAAAGGCAGTTGTGACACCAATCGAAAAATCTAAGACTGAAGATGATTTTCCAGATAGCTATGAAAAATTTATGGAGACTAAAAAAGGTACTAAAATCCTGAATGTTTCTCTTAGTAAAACAGACAGCCTGAATTTGATTCTTAGCACTGCACACACACACAAACTCATAGAATAATTAACCTTTACTTGTTTGGGAAAGTCTGGCCAAGGTTTGTAAAACATGAATTGTATGCTGAATTATACTCTTTTTTAAAGTAATCCACATTTTCCAAAATATTTTAGATGTTTATATTTAAAAATGTTTTCCTTGAAAGATGATATTTTTGATGCTATTCATTTTGGGTTTAAAATTTTTCAGTTTATACTATTATTTAAAGCAAAGTCTCAATGTGTAGCCTTGTTCTGACCTAGAACTCACTGTAACCCAATCTCAGCTTCTCAAATGCTGTGATCACTGTGTATGCCACCACACCTGTCCTCAGAAATTTGTTGTCTATACACTCTGAGCAGACCAGTCTTGGCTTTGTTTCTTTATGAAAATGAATTTCATTGAGGATTTTCATTATGATTGAATTGTTTGAGTGCTTCTATAATTAACTGAGACTATAACCAGAGATGTTTAGAAAACTCGACCTCTGATATTTACAGCCTGAGCAAATTGAGCTCAAAGAAGTAACTTTGCTTTTTGAAAGTTCTGCTTTTATTAAAGTTGCTTAAAGATATAATGGGGGAAGCTGGGCATGGTGGCATACACCTGTAATCCCAGCATTCTTGGACTGAGGCCATAGAAGCACAATGAACTCAGTCAGGCAGAAGAAGACCCTATCTCCAAAAAAAGCAAAAACCCTCCCCTAACCTCAGCATTCAAGACATGGAGGCAGGAGGATTAGAAGTTGAAGGTAATCCTCAGCTACAAAGCAAGTTTGAGACCAGCCTAAGGCACCTTAGACATTGCCTCAAAGGGTGAAGGGGTGAATTCTCCTTCTTGTTGTGTAGAACTAAGATATTGCTTGTATCTTAATTCTGTGTCCTAAAGAACACTAACCTGCAAATACCCTTTGAATGTTGAATAAAAATTTATGTGTTGAAAGGCAAAATTATCTCTTGGACGTATTTTGAATGTGACATTCTACAGGCATCTCTTCTTATAAAGCTCATTCAGTTGACTTAGTACATTTTCTTTCAGCTGTTCTCCAGTCTGACTCGTTTCCTAGTCATGTGTGCCATGCATTCCACACAAGGGAATTATTGGTGTTCTAAAGAACGTTATTTACTTTTTATTTATGTAATTGCTAGAGCTTGAACTCAGGGCCTTGAGTGTGTTTGGCTAGTGTTCTGCCTCTAAGCTATATATCCCCATCCTAGAACAGGTGCTTTTCTTTTCAGTCTGTAGAGATACTGCCCTCAATATTGTCAAAAGAAGCAGAAAGGCCTGCTTAAGTAGTTCATCCATTGTTGGGTGCATGCTGTTAGGAAATGTGTTCACAGAATATTAACCAGACTTGAAACGGGTTTGGACACTTATACTAGAAGAAATAAGTAAAGGAACGTCAAGTTTTTAGGGAGTGAGTTGTCTTGAAGCACGTGAAGTGGTGACTTGTAAGGGAGTCGAGAACTTAGAGTCAGTGAGTGGAAGACAGTAAGAGAACTCAGACTGCGAATGACTTTCTAAGTAAACACTGAGTTAAAGCAGTATACCTTCTACTGTAAGAAGGTTGGTTCTGCTCTGTGAGGTTCCTAAGGTCCTGACCAACAGGAATATGTGTATACCTTGTACTCTTAGAAAGCAGAGGCAAAGTGCTTTGATTTAACAGTATTTAATACAGACTCCATTTTACTTTTGCTTTAGCAAAAGAAAGTGAAGACAAGGAAAACCTTCCCAAAAGGACATCTTCTGGTGGCTTCAGATTTACTTTCTCCCATTCCCCCAGTGCTGCTAATGGAGCAAACAGCACAAACAATAAGTCTGTGGTGGCTCAGACAACACCGGCAAGTTCTAATGGGTCCTCTTCCAAAACTACAAACTTGGCTGCATCAGTAACAGCCACTAAGGTACGTGAAATAAGCACTACACACACACTTTGCCTTTTCCATCTGTAAAACTACTCTGTTGAATCAAGATGATTAGATAAAAATTTCAAAGAATGAAAAAGTTATGTTGTTCTCAGAACCTGACTCCCAACATCATTTGCAGACTCTTAAGGTCCACCTTGCATATCATAGAAATTTTAGGATAAACATTTTTTTCTTCTGTTGTTAGGACTTTTTGGTCATTTTATTTAGCTAAAGTCATAATGTATGTGAGCATATTCTCCCTCCCTCCCCAAGCACCAGCCCTATATTGTGGCATTTAAGTTGGTTCTATTACATCACTGGTCTATTAGTGTTAAACTTTAAAATATTTTGTTGAATAAATTATTAATGGAATGTCTTTATACACATTGTTAAAATCCTCTTCAAAGGTCTGTACCAGTTTTTGTTCCTGTGAGCAGTGTATGAGTATACCTGGTGCAGTATAGCATTAACAGTGTTGTTAAAATTTAGTATCTCTTCACCAGTTGGGTAAGGGTATGTGTGTGATCTCTTTCCCCAGTATGTATCTACTAACAGTAGTAAGGTTGAATTTGCTCTTCGGTGCTTTGTCTGCTCATAGTGCCTTATAAAATTGGTTTATATTTTTCTTAATTTGAATGATTTTTTTCAGTTAAGAGTATTAGCCTTTCTATAATTTTCATAGCAAATGTATTTCTCATTGGTTTAATGTTATAAACAAGTTTATATTTCAAACTTCATTTGTCTACCTTTTTTAAACTTTCACAGTTTTCATTATATGAAACCATCCTTTTCCCCCTAGGAAAGGCATAATTAGCTTTAAGAAGTGTAAATATAGGACAATTGCTGGTATAAGGGTAGATGAACAAATATAAGGATATATTAACATAGTATGAAACCAAACTTGATTCAATCTGAGCACTAACATTGTTTTAGTTAGGGTTTCTGTTGCTGTGAAGAGACACCATGACTTTGGCAACTCTTACAAAGGAAGACATTTAATTGGAGTGGCTCCCTTACAGTTTGAAAGATTCAGTCCATTATCATGATGGGAAGCATGGTAACATACAGGGAGATGTGGTGCTGGAGTAGTTAGCTGAGAATCCTACATCTTGCAGGCAATAGGCAGTCAGCTGAGACACTGGGTGGTATCCTGAGCAGAGGAAACCTCTCAAAGCCCACCCCCACAGTGACACACTTCCTCCAATGCCATACCCACTCCAACAAAGCCACACGTCTGTTACAAACAACCACAAACATTTCAAAAATTAAAAATGAGCACTCAGGAGACAGAGGTAGTCGGATCTCTGTGAGTTTAAGGCCAGCCTGATGTACAGAGCAAGTTCCAGGATAGCCAGGGATTCACAAAGAAACCCTGTCTCAAAAACAAAAAACAATTAAAAAAATTAGCCAGCATGGTGGCAGACTCCCTTAATCCCAGCATTCTACAGAAAGAGGCAGAAGCAGGTACATTTCTGTGCTTTTGAGGCCAGCCTGGTCTACTTAGTGAGTTCTAAGCTAGCCAGAGATATGTAGGGAGACCACTTAAAAGTAAATAAGATAAAAACCATAAAGAAGATCCAACTAAAGAGAATGCATGTTTTTTTTTCTTTTAAGTCTGAGTTTACTGTTGAACAGAAATATGTAAGTATGCTCTTCTCAGTGTATCTTCAGCACTGTCGTGAGGCAAGCTCTTGGTTAGAGCTCCCATAAAGTTGTATTTCGGTGAGATTCAAGCATTTTCTTTTTTCTATTTTTCCTTTTTGTTTTTCAAGACAGGGTTTCTCTGTGTAGCTCTGGATATCCTGGAACTTGCTCTGTAGACCAGGCTGGCCTTGAATTCACAGAGATCTGCTTCCCAGGTGCTGAGATTAAAGGAATGTACCACCACTGCCTGACTACATTCTGTGTTGTCTTCTCACTAGATAGCATTTAACAGTCTCATAATCTCAGCACTTTGACCAGTTTTCCATTCTGGTTTGTAGTTTGGTTTTTTACAGTGTGCGATATCTTATCAATAGGGTAGACAGCCAATAGCATGGCAAATGCCTGTGGGTTTTTTTTTTTTGGGGGGGGGGGCGGGACGTCTTAGAAGCCTCACCACTCATAGGGAATGTAGTTCAACCCTGCTACTAGGACCCCTCCTTAACCATTGCCCTAAACCTCCATATCTCCTCTCTGTCTTAGACTGTATCTCTCCTAGAACCCAGCTCTCTGTACTCTTTTTTGACTTAATGCTTCATTTTTATGTAGTATATCATGAGAGGTAAAACCTGAGACCATACAGGTATGAAAATGTTATTGTTATTGACAGGCCTCTCTCTAAGGTCGAAGTTTACTGCTGTAAAGAAATTCAAAGACATTTCTTATTCCTCAGCTCTTTTATCTTTTTCCTAAAAACATTGTGGGTTTTAGTCTTATATTCTGAAATTAAACATTTATTCTTCAGTTTTAGAACATTTTCTATTTTTTTTATTGGATGATGTTTTCTGATTGATCAGATGAGCTATTAATTAGCCAGCTGCTTTCTTGAGTTTAATTTCTTAACTTCTAGATAATTATTTTCAGTAACATGAAAGTACAAATGTACTTTTTACCTCATTGATGCCAAAATATATTTGTTCTACATCTTCTGGAGCAATAGATAAAACTAGTGCTGTTCTTAGAAAGCAAAGACTCATCAGTATAGAGTTTCACACCAAAAAATGATGAATACGCAGAAGTAAATTTAATTAGTTCACAAACTTGTAACAAATAATGGCCATATTTCTAAATAGTAGCTGATTCTTCATCAGTAGTGGCCTCTAGTTTTAGAATCGGTGTTAACTGCTACAGTTGAAGGCTGCAAAGGTATCAGCTACTAGTGAAATTAATATGAATGCTATAAAAACACAATATATTTCCATTGTTTAGTATATAGCATCCCATTTCTATGGGAAAGAATGTTTACAGAATCAGTTGAAAGCAGGTATAGTGAAGCATGCCTATAAGCCAAGCACTCTGGAGGCCAAGGTATCTAGCCTGGGATACTATTGCAAAGTCCTGTCTCAAAACAACAAAACCAGATTGAGAAACTTGGTGGATGCTAAAACAAACACTTACTTCTGCTATAACATAAAGAAGGAAACCCTATATATTACTTTTAGTAGGCTTTCCAAGTCAGAATGTTTAAAAAGATGAATAACTAACCCCTGTTACTGAGAATTACCACAGTTTCTTGTAGTTACAAGCATCATAGCAAAGTGAACTTTATATATATCATTTGTCTGCAATAGAATTTGCATTACCCTATTTTCAAGTGCAAATACTCAGTAAAAATAGGAACAAATGGATAATTTCTTAACATGCTGTCTAACACCAAAAGTTAGTTTTGTACTTAGGAAATATTAGGGATATTCCCACTTAATCAGGAACAAGACAGAATGTTGCTGTCACTGCTATTATTTAACCATGATTGTAAGGTATTAGTACATTTACTGAAACAACCAAAACTATCACTGTATAATTTATTATTATATGGTAAAATGTGCTTGCATATTTCAAACTATACTTGATTATAATTTACTCTGTTGCAGTGAAAAAAAAAGATCATCCTCTTTTACAGTTAATTTAGTTAATTGTTTTGATCCTTTACTCCTTATGTGCCTGGTGGTTATTGGATTTTCTTTCATAAAAACAAAACAAAACAAAAACTAACCAGGCTTGGTTGCACATGCCTATAATCCCAGCAGTTGGGAGTCTGTGGCAACAAGGTTCCAGCTTTGAAGACTGTGTGTGCTATACGCTGAGTTCCCATCTACATGACAAGCTCTTGTCTCAAAACAAGAAAACACCCTAGAAGCTATGATTACCTGCCTCTGCAGTCCAAGCTATTTAGGAGGCTGCCAGGCCAGAAGTATTATGAGTCCTGAAGGTCTCAGGAATTGGGGGAGGGGTAAGGTGGGGTGGGGAGTACTACAGAGGAGAAAGAATGGCAGGTTTTTAAAAAGGTGTGAGATAGTTCAATAAGAAAAATTGTTTTCAGGGCTGGAGAGAGGGCTCAGCAGTTAAAAACAGGACCCAGGATCAATTTCTAGTATCCATATGTCAGCTCACAACTGACTGTAACTCCAATTCCAGGGTATCTGACACCTTCACACAGATAAACATGCAGGCAAAACACCAAGGCACATAAAATAAAAATAAACCACCAGGCGTGGTGGCTTATGCCTTTAATCCCAGGATTTAGGAGGCAAAAGCAGGCAGATCCCTGAGTTTGAGGCCAGCCTAGTTTACAAAGTAAGTTCCAGGACAGCTAGGGCTGGCTGTTATACACAGAAAAACCCTGTCTCGAAATAACAAAAATAAATAAATTTTATTAGAAAAAAGAAAAATTCTTTTCAACAAATACTACATATTGGTTAACCACATGCAAGAGAGATACTCAACTCCTAACTCACTTAATACAAACTTAAAAGACCTAAACATAAATACAGAGCTCTCAGAAAACAGGAATAAATAGCCATGACCTTAAATTAGGTAGTTATATATAATACCCAGAGCATATATGACAAAAGAGAAAAAGATGGCATCATGATCAGAAATTACATGGTATTAAGTAAAAAGGATAGACCACCACATGAGTTGCAAAGCCTGTAAGAAGTTGGGTCCAGAGCATATCAAGGACTCTTACCAGTAATCAAACCCCAAAGGACATACACAGACATTTCTCCAAAGGAAATAAATATACAAATAAGCACATGAGAAAATGTTTGGTATCATTACTGAGACAAATAAAAACAAAAGCACAGCAAAGAGCTGAATGGATGGTTCATAGGTAAAGAAAGCGCTTGCTGTGAGAAGGTCTGGGTTCAGAATCCAGGAACCCACACAAGGTGCCTTTGTTATGCCAGCATTCCCACTGCAATGGGAGGAGCCATGAGAATCCCCAGAAAAGATGGTCCATGAGCAAAGCGCTTGCTGTGGAAGCATAAAGATGATCCAGCTTCAGAATCCCAGGGACTCAAAAAAGGTGCCCTTTGTTATTCCAGCATTCCTGCTGCAAGATGGGAGGAGCCATGAAAATCCCCACAAGCTTGAGATCAGCTAGCATGGCATATGCATCAGCAGGCCACAGTCTCTGATGTAAAACAAGATAGAATGTGAAGATCAACACCCAAGGTTGTCTTCCTTACTACACACTGCACATGCCTCATGGCAGAAATGTTTATACTCATACACATTCCCCAAAGATTTTTTTAAGTAACATAATAAGCAGTTCACACCCACTAGAACAGCTATGATTTTTTTTTTTAATGGACAAATGTTGGCTAGAATACAGAGAAATTGCAAGCCATATTCATTGTTGATGGGGAGGTAGCATGAAATAGCTTTAGAACACAGACTAGTAGGCCCAATTCCCACTCTCCCGAAGCTAAGCACATTAACTATAGGACCCAGCAAGCAGTTCCATTCCTACAGAAAAGTTGAAACAAGCTGTGTGTGAGCAGCATTCTGAAGACTGATTGTGAGTTAAAGACCATCATGGACTACATAGCAATCCTGTCTCAGAGAAACACTGAAAACATGTTGACTCTAAAATTAGTATGTGATTGTTGACATTATTATTCATAATGGCAAAAAAAAGTGGACAACACAAATGCCTGCCAACTCATGAATTGGGCCAATAGTGCTATTAGCCAGAAAAAGAAATGAAACGGTAATTAAGTGCTACGACATAGACTAGCAGTCCGTACAATGTATTGCATGTTACATGAATTGCTGGGAATAAATCCTTCAGGGGTTGGGGGTGGAAGGCAAGTAGATCAGTGGTTGCTTGTACCCTGGAAAGAAGGAGCTATGGGGAATGACAGTTAATGGGTTAGGGACGTTACTGGGGAGGAAGGTCGAAGATGTTAGAAATTAGGAGGGATAGTTGTATAACATTTTGACACTAGGAACACTGAATTGTACGCTTGAGAGGGGTCACTCTACTGTGGATTTAAAGTAGTGATTTGCTTTAGACAGAGGAGCTTGCTTAGCTTAGTTCTTTCCCACTCTCGGGCACCAGGACCCCACCTACTCCTACCACCACCCTCCACTGACCTCACCATGGTGTTCATTTTTACAGCTTAACTCTTTTGTTACATCTGGGAAGTGTAGGCTTTGTGTTCTGCAAGAAGGCTTGGGGTTATGGGGAGCTGGTATTCAGAGTTCAAATTTTCCAATTTTTCAGTCTGTTACTCATTGCCTTAAGTACCAGATTTTTTGGAATTCATATTTCCTATAACTTCATAGTAACCGGAAAGGATTTCTTGGCTATCAAGAGACTGAATCTGTTTGGCCAGCTTATCTTCCTCTTTTCCTCAGTGTTGTGATGTTTTTATTGCCTGCTCTGTTCTGGAGTCTTGGGATAAATCAGTTCCATTTGCATTTCTTTATCCCCTTGTATATGTTTAGTTCTTACTTTCTTCCAGTTACCTTGCCTCTAGTTTTTCTATTAAAAAAAAAAATGCCTTGGTAAATTTCTTTTTCCTCATTTTCTTTGTGTATCTGTATCTTTTAAATTTACTTTCATTTTAGATAATTTAAGGACATAGTAAATGATTATAAGACTTCCAGGAGCTTTAGTCACTGAACTCTCCTATACACATGTAACAGCATTGAAATCCGAAATCAGACAATGAAATCAGTATGCCCTAACACTTAAACCATACACCTCTTTATTTTGTTTTGTTTTTTGAGACAGGGTTTCTCCATGTAGTTTTGGAGCCTGTTCTGGATCTCGCTCTGTAGACCAGGCTGGCCTCGAACTCATAGGCTCTACCTTCCAAGTCCTGGGATTAAAGGCTTGTGCCACCGCCGCCCAACCCTCTTTCTAATTCAAACTTAATAAGATGTGTGATTTAGCTAAGCCAGAATTAGGAATTTTCTAAATAATGCCTTCTGATAAGTGCTTCTAGATGCTCAGAGTCCTTCTGACTGATATTACAGTGTTTCAGTTATTCTTTGTTGCTTTCAGGTATTTGTGTTTACATATGGAGCCACTTATGAAGGACAGGTTACTTTGATTGATTTGTTTAGCTTTGAGAGGTACAAAGGGTTTGAACCCAACAGTATTAATAACCCCTTAACCTGTAGGTCATGCATAAGTTTCATAGAATTGGTCCAAAATGAGTGCAATCCTGAAAATGCCTGCCATTTTTTGCAGTGCCCAAACCCTGAAATATACCTCCTTATTTTTAGCCATTAGCTTTTCGAAACCATTTCTTGGGTTTTTGTTTTTTTTTTTTTTTT